GAGTCTCTGACTGGGAGCACATTCGGTTTGTGTGACCGACACCAGTAAGGATGTTTTAAACTCTGGATTGTTGCTCCTGGCTGGGGCAGGAAACATCCTGAGAGTGTTACCAAGAAACTTGTTCAAATTGGGGTTAAAAACAATCGTTTTCACATATTTTCCATGTAGGTTTTTTTTTTTTTTGCCAGTTCCTCTTCTGAAAGGTAGACAATAGTTTTTCTCTTTCCCTCAAAAAATCTTAATATTCTCCTAGTTTGGCCCAGCACAGTTCACTTCCCAATTACAGCAACAGCCTTATATCATAACCACATAAGTGGAGAAAATGCTCAGTAGCAATGAGAGAATTTGCTGTTGCATTTAAGTGATGTTAACTATTATTTAACATTTAAACTTACTTTCAGATTTTTTTATTTCATCAAAAAAACCTGGTAAGGGATGTTTTTCTGTGTTTGGAGCATCAGAAAAAGTTTTATGGTAGAGGTGATGTTTTAAAGTCACTGAGAATCTGCATGCGTGCAGTTTGTTGTTTTGCTGCTAATACAGTAGCAGGTGCAGCTGCTAATACAGTAGCAGGTGCAGCTGCTAGTACAGTAGCAGGTGCAGCTGCTAATACAGTAGCAGGTGCAGCTGCTAATACAGTAGCAGGTGCAGCTGCTAATACAGTAGCAGGTGCAGCTGCTAATACAGGAGCAGGTGCAGCTGCTAATACAGTAGCAGGTGCAGCTGCTAATACAGTAGCAGGTGCAGCTGCTAATACAGTAGCAGGTGCAGCTGCTAATACAGTAGCGGGTGCAGCTGCTAATACAGTAGCAGGTGCACCTGCTAATACAGTAGCGGGTGCACCTGCTAATACAGTAGCGGGTGCAGCTGCTAATACAGTAGCAGGTGCAGATGCTAATACAGTAGCAGGTGCAGCTGCTAATACAGTAGCAGGTGCAGCTGCTAATACAGTAGCAGGTGCAGATGCTAATACAGTAGCAGGTGCAGATGCTAATACAGTAGCAGGTGCAGCTGCTAATACAGTAGCAGGTGCACCTGCTAATACAGTAGCAGGTGCAGCTGCTAATACAGTAGCGGGTGCAGCTGCTAATACAGTAGCGGGTGCAGCTGCTAATACAGTAGCAGGTGCAGCTGCTAATACAGTAGCAGGTGCAGCTGCTAATACAGTAGCAGGTGCAGCTGCTAATACAGTAGCAGGTGCAGCTGCTAATACAGTAGCAGGTGTAGCTGCTAATACAGTAGCAGGTGCAGCTGCTAATACAGTAGCAGGTGCAGCTGCTAATACAGTAGCAGGTGCAGCTGCTAATACAGTAGCAGGTGCAGATGCTAATACAGTAGCAGGTGCAGCTGCTAATACAGTAGCAGGTGCAGCTGCTAATACAGTAGCAGGTGCAGATGCTAATACAGTAGCAGGTGCAGATGCTAATACAGTAGCAGGTGCAGCTGCTAATACAGTAGCAGGTGCAGCTGCTAATACAGTAGCAGGTGCAGCTGCTAATACAGTAGCAGGTGCATCTGCTAATACAGTAGCAGGTGCACCTGCTAATACAGTAGCAGGTGCAGCTGCATATTTTTGCAATAAAAATGTTATGTTGTAATGGGATTCATGCATTAGTTTTTGTTTGCGTTGAACCCAGAGCAGACGTCACACGCCAGACGACATCAACACTGCATACTTTAGTATGTGTTCATTTATCGCAAGTAATATCGATATTGCAATATTAAGCACTGTTATCGAATATTGCAGGTTTTCCTAATATCGTGCAGCCTTACAATATATCATGATATTTTTTCCAGCAATATTATATCGATATTCAAAAGTCGTGTATCTAATTTTTGGAAGAATTTGCATGCAGACATTTGTGTATTTTCTTTTCTTTTGTGCAATTCAAACACTGACCACTAGTTGGCAGCAGTGTGCAATGGGATTTGTTTCCACCATCGAAATGTAAATCCCTCTGTTATGGTTCGGATACATCATGTTAAACACGTTACGTTTTAGTCTGGACTGTTTATTGAATTTTCCTACAATATATTCAGTCTGAAAAATCACTTATATGGTCTGACTGAATGTATCGCAATATATCGTGATGCATATCGTATCGCCATAATTTAACCAGAACACATCCCTAAAGACTAGCTCAGTGTAGCATCACATGGCCAAAGTCAAAGTCTGACAATCACACCTGCGGCCAGCTGATCCAACATGCATGCATTTTTAACACAGGAAAACTTAAAATAAGAATGCCATGGGGGGGGGGGGGGGGGGGCGCAAAGATGGACACAAACGTGCTGATGCCCTAGACAATAATATTCTAGATCAGGGCAATCACAGAGAAGTCAGCCTCAGTAACAGTTACAGAGAACTGACGTCAGCCATCAAGCACATCCAGGGTTAGAAACTAGTTCAAAAGCCCAATGTTCCTCAGAGTAAAAACCTATTATAAAGCATTTATTAAATGTTAACCATGTCAACCATGAATTAATCACAGGCCATTTTATTAGGTACATCTGTCCTTCTAGCTACCCAACCAGTCACATGGCAACTTTTAGACACATGTGGAAGTTCAAACTGAGCATCAGAGCTAGGGATGCATGATACACCGAAATCAATATCAGTATCGGCCAATGTTAGTCCATTTTTAACATTTCGGTATCGGTCCGATAAGTAAAACTTGGCCAATATTAACAACCAATATTTTTTCCATCTCGTTTCCGTTTGTGAATCTGTTTCAGAGGCTGGGAGGAGGATGATGATGATGATGATGTGTAATTGTTTTGTCATGTGACCATGATGGTAATCATCTCAGAAGCGTAAATGCGTGTGTATATAATAACATTTATACACTCACACATTATAATCTAGTTTGCAATTTATAGAAATAAAGCAAGACATTCAAAAATTCAGCTTGTATCATTTTCCGTCTACACTAAATCTGCTGATTTCAGTTTGTGTGTATATTTATACATCCGTTATTGGTCATAACAGCAATATTAATATCGGATATCTGAATTGGCCCAAAAACTCATATCAGCATCCCTAAACAAAACAAAACGGGTTGGTGCTAGTTGGACTGGTCGGAGTACAACAGGAATTTTTCTCAATAACAATTAGCAGAGAATGGTCTGAAAAAGGATAAAATGTCTGAACATGACAGAAAGACAAAAACAGCTGAAATAACCACTGGTTCAAACCAAGGTCTGCAGCATAGCATCTCTGAACTACATGTTGAACCTTCAAGCAGCATCAGAAAACCATATCACACGTCCGCTCAAGCATCACTAGAAAATTGGTGTAAACGGAAAGCACCAAAAATGACCAACGGTCTGATAAATTAGGAATCAGCCGAGTTTAAAAAGCGACAATCGTATTTTTGGAGAATCAGTGAAGGCACTATTGCCAAGTGGCAATGCAAAATGTTTACATTTTCATGGTCCATATGCACTTGTTCACAATATCAAATATTTGTTGTGGAAGTTTTTACTTTTAAAACAAATTGTTATCTTTTCCAGCTTTTTAAGATAAATTGGAAAATCGGCATCGGCCCTCAGAACCAAAATCGTGCATCTCTATGAGTTAAAAATAATTCCGAGTTTCACTTTCACACACCTCCAAATCTGAGACCATGGTTCTCGACCGGGAAAGGGTGGCTTGCCACCTCCGGGTCGGGAGAGAGGTCCTACCTCAAGTGGAGGAGTTTAAGTATCTCGGGGTCTTGTTCACGAGTGAGGGTAGGAGGGATCGGGAGATCGACAGGCGGATTGGTTCGGCGTCTGCAGTGATGCGGACGCTGAGCCGATCTGTCGTGGTGAAGAGGGAACTGAGCCAGAAAGCCAGGCTCTCGATTTACCGGTCGATCTACGTCCCAATCCTCACCTATGGTCATGAGCTTTGGGTAATGACCGAAAGAACGAGATCGCGGATACAAGCGGCCAAAATGAGTTTCCTCCGTAGGGTGGCCGGGCTCAGCCTTAGAGATAGGGTGAGGAGCTCGGACATTCAGGAAGGACTCGGAGTAGAGCCGCTGCTCCTCCGGATCGAAAGGAGTCAGTTGAGGTGGTTTAGGCATCTGGTCAGGATGCCTCCTGGACGCCTCCCTGGGGAGGTGTTTCGGGCATGTCCTGCCGGCAGGAGGCCCCCGGGTCGACCCAGGACACGTTGGAGAGGTTACATCTCCAATCTGGTCCGGGAACGCCTTGGGGTCATGCCGGAGGAGCTGGTGGACAAGGCCGGGGAGAGGACAGTCTGGAGCTCCCTAGTTGGGATGCTGCCCCCGCGACCCGGACCCGGATAAGCGGAGGAAGACGAGACGAGACTTTCACACCAAGAAAATCTCACCAAATAAAAGTTCCAAATCTTATATGTACTTAGGTTTACATTTTTCCATCAAACATTTGACACAAATACATCAGTTGTTTGTCTTTGCTCACAAGTTGTGTGAATCAAGAAAACTCAGACGGATGCTAAAAACGGGATTCAAGATTCACACCTGCAGTTATTCCCACTCCATCTGCCTCACAACTTTCAGGCAGAGCCGCACACGCAACACCCGCAAAACACGCATGAAAATTCTATCAGGGTTAAGGTGCAGTAGCCTCACATTTTCCGTTAAACACGAGCCTGATCAAGAATCCGAAACATTAGGTCACCGCTCCGGTTTTCTCCGGGACTCGAACCGCAGCCGGCGGTCTCCCCGCGCAGCTCTGGGTGTGAAACGCATCATTTCTGTCCAGTAAGTGTGTACACACACACACACACACACACACACACACACACACACACACACACACACACACACACACACACACACACACACACACACACACAGCCGTGAAACGCAGCAGGATGGGATATAGAGATCGACGTAGCTGGTCTATAACCAAGCAGGCTCTAAATATACGGGTAAGGAGGGGGAGGGGGGGAGCTGCCCTAACACACACACACACACACACACACACACACACACACACCAAACGAAATTATAAAAAAGGGAAGTTACCCCCTCCAGGTCCCGTTTTCCGCCACGGATTCTTCGACATACTCACGGTGAGGCTGTTCTGATCGCAGCGCTGGGTTCCGGTATCCGCCACTCGGTCCGCGGAAAACGGCTTCTGCGCTCCTCTCTCTCTCCCTCTCTCTCGCTCTCTCTCGCTGTGCAGTCGGAACAACTTCAAACATCCAGGGCCAAATAGCGACAAGATAAAAAGCGAGGTGGGAACTACGCGCGCCCTTCCTCCCCTCCGCTATCCAGCCAGGGGGGAGAAGCGTCGAGCGAAGCCCGCGAGGAGGGAGCACGAGCCCGGACTGGTGCGGTGGCAGGAGCTCGGTGAACTGGGAGAGCTGGGGAGGAGTGGAGCGGAGAGGACGTTCGGTGGCGCTGCCTGCGAGATGTTCTCGTGTGTGTGTGTGTGTGTGTGTGTGTGTGTGTGTGTGTGTGTGTGTGTGTGTGTGTGTGTGTGTGTGTGTGTGCGCGCGCGCTCTCTTCCTGGTTCTACCGAAACTTAATGTGAAACCAATTTCAGCTGCCTCTCTAGATACCCTCCGCTGAGTGACCATCACTGACAAGACACGAGGAAGTAGCAAAATGTGCAAATAAATAAATCGAGGAAAGTCAGTTTCTCTCCATTAAAACACCCGTGATAAATGCACGCGCCCCTGTCATCTAAACCAACCACTAGACTGTTAAAACCCACATTAAACCCCTCAGTAGGCATGGTGCAATTAAAACGTCACATTTACCTCTAAACTAGGTTTAACACCAGCAAACAGTTTATTTTGCTTTTTACACATCTATTATACCATAAAGTCTCCATTCACTTTAATAAAACCGGGAATACATGCACCAATTCTGGTTTCATTGGCCAGTACCGATTTCAGATTCTTGCACAGTTCTGATGTTACAATAGCAACAAAACTTGGTCAATTTATCTCAAAGAGCTATAATAAAATAAAAAGGAGATTATCTTTAAAAGAATTATTCTGGATGTAAAAACCTCCAGAAAGATTTGTTATTGCTAGCATGAATTAGCACTGAGCAATGGTGGGTTCATAAACCAAGAAAATGTACAGTTATTTTTTTTAAGTTTTAGATTGGCTGATCACCAACTCGGCTGATCATGCTGTATTTCTCCTATCCTATTAAGCAGATTGTGTTTTTGCCCATAATTTAAATGTGTGGGAACATCTTTAAATCAATACATTTGCAGTTGTCTCCGATATAATGAATGCCTTGCAAGCCGTACTCAGGACAAAAAAGCCCAGTATTTTTTGGATCAGTACCGACCAGCTGATTTGGACACGTATTTCCCGATATTTGGACATCTTGCCTTGGATTGGATAACAGCAACGCAACTCTACCTCTGCAATGTGGATGCTTTATCTCCACAAATAACACAAGTCTGGGGGAGTTCTTCACTCTGCTGAAGCTGCTAATGCTAACGGTTAGCTTTTACTAGTCGGGACGTTGTCTGCTGATTCCTGATGTTAAACCAACAACAGCCTTACCCATTGTGAGTCATGATGGTGAGTCCATGAATGTTAAGTGACAGCGTGATGTAGAGCTATCTGACTTTTCAATTTAATGTTTCACCGTCCGTTTTCTATCAGAAGCTAAGGCAGGAGATAGGTGTAGAAGACTATTTCTCGTTCAGCCTTCACGAAATACTCACGGTGTCTGACTATAATCAGAACTAATCATTAAAAATGTTTTTTCAGTGAACAACACCTTTAAATAATGTATAGGTCAGTGTAGCTGCAATACACTACACGTACAAGGTATGCTCCTCTCCATCGTTGAAATCAAAGACCAAATTATGCAGTTATTTAATAACAGATGTAGTTAGCTATTGATTTGACAATAGTCTGACAGAAAAAAACAATAACATTTAGTAATGAATGTCTATAGTGATTAGAATGACCTTGGCTTTCCACCAAACGTGTAAGCGGCGCACAACGTAATGGATGCGAGTTTACCACGACCACAGAGGCACCACCCTTCCTACCGAAAGAGTTTCAGATGTGCAGTGCCAGTGAATGTGTTCCATGCAACCGGTCCTGTTAGATCACATCACAGGAGAATTGCAAGATCACACGTGATTTTACAAATTCACGCGACTACAAGCTAGGAGAAAGATGGCGGGAAGTATCCAAAAGGTCTCTGGGTTATTTTCTGTTATTTTTACCTTTGCCAAGGCGTTCATGTTACATTTGCACATTCGGTGGAAAGTCGAGGTCCGACTCCAAAAGCTGAAATTGTCACGAACTACTGGTCTTTGGTTCAGTTATCAGCTCACCTGCCCCTGTTTTTAAATAGCCCACCACTGCTTAAAAACTCTCTGGTTCTTCCACTCTGTCTGATCTTGCTGTTTGTCTGTGTTGTTTTAGCTACCAGTTATCCCAGTTCCTCGTTTTGTTTTCCTGCCAGTTCGTTTTGGTTCCTTTGAAGCATTTGTGAGTTTACCGGCCTGTCTCCTGCTCATTCACCTGCACCTTGGGTCCAACACCCATTCATGACTGCTTTACTCCGGAGAAATCACTACTATAGTTATCTAGTTTAGCATCTTTTTTAGCAATAAAAATACAGATTCAACGAAATGTAACTAATAACCCAGCCAGGACACCTAGATGGGGCCCATAAGTAGTAGTGTCAGGAGGAGAAGAAAGAAGAAGAAAATGTAAGGAAAGAGAGAGAAAATTAATAGGAAAGAGGGAAATCAGTGGATCCCGGGCAGGGTGAAATAAGAGCAGAATAAGGAGAGGGCGACGAAGGTCATGCAAAAGCCAGCTTGAACAGCAGAGTTTTCAGCTGCTTTTTAAAGGAGACCACCGAGTCCACTTATCTCAGGTTCAGGGGGAGAGAGTTCCAGAGTCTGGGGGCCACAGCAGCAGATGATCGGTCACCTTTGGGCTTTAGTCTGGTGCTGCACAACCAGTAGGCTTTGATCACTGGACCTCTGGCATGAGAATTCAGGGTGAGAGCTGTGTCAATGGTCACACCAAGATTCCTGACAGAGGGGTTGGTGTGAGAAGCAAGCTGACCAAGAGAATCTCTGACTTTGGGAACCAGCTTGTCTGGGGAACAGATGAGGATCTCAGTCTTATCTTCATTCAGCTGTAGAAAGCTCCCAGCCATCCAGGTTTTTAGAGTCTAAGCAGGTGTGTAAGCTTAGACATCTCATGGGGCTTAAAGGAGATGTACAGTTGGATGTCATCTGCATAAAGATGGTAGGAGATTCCTTTGAATGAGCTCAGGATGTGCTATAGAGGAAGAAGAGCAGAGTCCCCAGCACAGAACCTTGTGGGACACCATGGGTAAGAGAGGTGGTGGAAGACCTAAACTTGGAGACGGCCACAGAAAAGGAGTGCTCAGACAGATAAGAGGAGAACCCCTCCAGAGCAGTTCCTGATAGGCCTACCCAGTCTCTCAGCCTCTCCAGTAGCAAGTGATGGTCAACAGAGTCAAAGGCTGCAGTCAGGTCCAGCAGGACCAGAACAGAACAGTCCCGTGCATCACTGTGAGTCAGAAGGTCATTTGAGACCCTAAGAAGAGCTGTTTCAGTGGAATGAGCTCTACGAAAACCTGACTGGAAACTATCATGTTATGCTCATCAGGAGCAGCTGTGAGTTGTTTAGCCCCAACCTTTTCCAAGATCTTGGAGATGAACGGAAGTTTAGAGATGATTTTGGACACTTATTTCCTGATATTTGGACATCTCTCTTCCGATTGGCCAACAGCAACATGACTCTACCACAGACTCCTGCACGCTAAACCAAAAACAGCCTTCCCTGTCATGAGTTAAGATGGGAGAGTCTATTAGCGTTAAGTGACAGTGTGATGTAGATTCGTCCGGCTTTTCAAATCCTAGAGTTTCACCATCTGTTTGCTCTCAAAAGCTAATGCAGTAGATATGTAGGTGTAGGAGACTATTTTCATGCTTAGCCTGCATGGAAAACTCAGTGACCGATTATGCTCCCAAATTTTCAATAAAACACTGGTTTTGCAGTGTCCCACACCTTTAAACGGTATAAAAAACTAAAATTGTGGGGTTATGTGAATAAAAAGCTAAATGCCTCAAAACGAATCAAACAACAGAGTAATGGACAATTTTCTGTTCCTTTTTCTCAAATCTGAAAACGCTTCAAAATCGCAAACAAATCTCCTGGAAGCGAAATTATGAAGAAAAGAGGAGTGACTCATGACTTTTGTTGATCACAATCTTTTATCAGAACCACGCGGCCAGGAGCTTTAAAAACTACATCGGGCAGGTAAGTCAACTAATTGTAGCCATCTCAATTCTGCAATTTGACTTTTTTACATCTGAGTTCATTTTTATCTTCTGAAAGTTTATGTTGCAACATTAAAAATTCTCTTTTAAAGCCTTGTCTTCAGAGAACAGTGGGCAGCATAATGTAGATTCAGATTAGCTTCATGTTTATGTTTATTTATTTAGGAGACGCTTTTATCCAAAGCGACTTACAATTTATATAACCTGTATACAGGAAATGCTGTGATCTGTGTGGGAAACCGGAGTACCCAGAGGAAACCCACGCATGCATGGGGAGAACACGCATGTAGATAAAAACCCATGTTCATTTATGAGGAAATCTGTTTTGTTTGACCTCTCTGGCTCTTACCAACACTTCCTCCACTCATATGAATAAAAAAAATCAACTAGAAATGTTGGTTTGACCATAATTCACCAAGAATCCATCATTCCAGCGTATTTTGGTAATGAAGGGGGAATGTGACCTTTAACTTCATAAATAACGGTTGAGTTTACACTTTTGAAATATTTCTTGGGCTGCGCAGCAAGAAGGTCCTGGGTTCGCTTCCTGGCCTGGGATCTTTCTGCATGGAGTTAGCATGTTCTCCCTGTACACGCGTGGGTTCTCTCCGGGTTCTCCGGCTTCCTCCCACAGTCCAAAAACATGACTGTTAGGTTGATTGGTCTGTCTAAATTGTCCCTAGGTGTGTGTGTGTGCATGGTAGTTTGTCCTGTGTGTCTCTGTGTTGCCCTGCGATGGACTGGCACTCTGTCCAGGGTGTATACCGCCTGATTGCCCATTGGCCGCTGGAGATAGGCACCAGCCCCCCCGCGACCCTGCGTGGACAAGCGGGTTCAGAAAATGGATGGATGGCAATATTTCTTTTTCATCCGACTAACCGATTCCTTTCTTTTCTACCTGTTAAAATAGTGTTTGACCAACTAAGACATGAAATATATATATATATATATATATATATATATATATATATATATATAAAATCACATCTGGTCTGTAAAGATTTTTTTCTTTTTATCTCGGGCTGCAGAGGAGCTTCTGAGGCCTTTTTACCTCTTTGGTGAAGGGTTATGTAATCTGAAAAGATCAAACCCGACCATCAGTAAAGCAGATACTTGGCTGTTTGATACAAACAACAAATCTTTTAATGACAAGAAACTGGGGGAAATGACATGAAGCAAGTCTGAAAAGCTGAATGAGCAGAACGCACGGTTACTAAATCAATTCAAACTCAATTCAAAAGTATACAGCAAGCTTTTAGCGGCGTGGGAGAGCAGCTCAAACGATTCTGTTATTGTGTCAAATAATCAATGTACCGTATTTTCCGGACTATAAGCCGCTACTTTTTCCCCACGCTTTGAACCATGCGGGTTATAATGAGGTGCGGCTTTACTGAAGATTTTCCTTCACCTGCCACTAGGGGGCGCTTTAGCAGAAAGTGAAACAGGTGGAAGTCAAAAGTGGAAATCAAAGAAAGTGCTCATTTTAATTTAGCACATGCAAGCAGCCGGCACGACGAAGAATTTGTTTCAAATCCATACTCCCTCATCATGGTAACTACACGTATGAATTCATATGATGCCGCATTTAAGTTGAAGGCCATGGATCTGGCAGTAAAGGAGGGAAACAGTGCTGCCGCACGTAAGCTTGGCATGAATGAATCCATGGTTCGGCGCTGGAGACGGCAGCGGGAAGAACTCATTCAAGCCAGCTTCACCCGGGGATGATGGCAGCAACACGGACAGCGACACAGAAAAGGTATGTGGCGAAGCTCTTCTGAGGCTGTTCAACTCCGACACTGAAGAAGAGGACTTTAATGGCTTTAGTGCAGAAGAGGAAGATGAGAGCGAATGACTTCTGGTAGACAAGTGTGTTTTATTTACTAACCAGGCATGTTTTGTGTGCAGTTTTAATTTTCTAATCATCCAGGGCTTATTAATGCTGTGTCAGCGCTGTTCTTTTCTTCTAAACATGCAAATTACGGTAATAACGTGTCATTTCTGTTTTATTTTATAACCATCCAGAAATATGAACACTATCAGCGCTGTTTTCTTTTCTAAACTTGAAGGCACGTTCACCCGTGTTTAAAATTTGTTTTGTTGAATTAAAACAACAACGAAAAACTTCCGTGTAGCGTCTTTCTGTCTAATTATCTTATGTTATGGCCGTACATGCGCTGTGTGCCGGAGACCTGCATGTGGCTGCTGCGCCGCGGCTTGTATTCGAGCGCGGCGTGTGTGTGTGTAGAAAACCTTTTTTTCTGTTGTTGGTGCGGCTTATATTGAGGTGCGCTCTATAGTCCGGAAATTACGGTATCAGACTTTCAGGGAAGGGGACTGAGTCGGCCGTGTTATCAAGTCAAAAAATGCATTACAGTAAAGAAAATTCAGATTTTTTTAAGTAGCACTGTCTGGTTTGTTAGAGGATAATTTCCCCTGACTGGCATAATAACATGCATACACTTAGAGCTCAAAACATATTTTAGGCATTTTTACAATGAGAAATAAAACTACAAAGCTGGTTAGTGTCACTTACTGTATCGATTGGTATAGCAAAAAAAATCACGTTGCTGTGAAGACACGAGTGGAATGTCGCTTCTCTTTCTTTGACTGTGTTAAAAAGCTGCTGCATCCCCAGAAAGCTCCTTTTTTTAAAACTAAAAGAGACGGTATAAAATGCACCCACAGCAGCAGTAAAGATTACATTGGTCAAGCTGCTGAATCGCAATAAAAAAGGAGAAAACAGCAATAATCATTCTTCTGTAAAAACAGTCTAACAAACCCACATGGTCATACATTGGATATCCAGTTTTGCCAGATTAATTACTCCACGCTTCATTACCGCTTCATTATGGCAGTCTGTCTTTATACATCCTCTGCCAACAGTCTCTCCTACATCTACGTTTAAATGACTACACCCTGCCTCGCTCTCGGTCTAACGGCCGCCCAGCAGGAAGGGACTAGTGAACTTGTTGAGTCTTATTCCTAAACATCAAGTCTCCCTACTAACTCACAATTATGGAATAAAACTGTAAAAAAACATCCTTTGTGATAGGTGTAAAATATGTTATGGTTAGTATGATCACAGTATTAAAAATTTTTGTTTAAATGTGCGGAAAAAGAGAGAAAAAAACCCTCCAAATGAAATGACACAAACAGTAAAGCCAATAGCAATACTGATATTATTGTATATCATTAAGCAATATATTTTTAGTAGTAGAAATCACTTGCAAAAATAACCTTTCACTCTGCAAGATGACTTTAATAAAAAGTTTATCACCAGCTGTATGAAGATGAAACATTACCAATCAAAGCTGCTGACCGGAGTTTTCTCCTTTCAGGAATTATAGATGACTTTTAAGAAATACCCTCAGAATCAGTGAATCAGTAAAAGAGTCTAATGGCAATACCTGAAAATATGAATCTTCTGTTTGTATGACCTTTGTGAGGCCAGAAAGGAGTGTGAATATGTCTCTGTCGAACATCAATCAGGTGATCAGACCATCGACATATATACTGGACAATTCGTGTCCGTAGGCTCCAATTATAAGTTTTAGAGCCAAAATGGGAGGTGGCCACCACCGCCATTTTTTTTTTTTTTTTTTTTTTTTTTTTAACGTGTCCTGTCTGGCTGTGAAGCAAGCAGAATTGATGTCTGAATGCTGGTAACAAGCCTTACAGTTTTACTCTCAGGTGGAGCATCAGAGCATCTGCTTTTAATGTCTCAGGTGGAGCATCAAAGAGTCTGCTTTTAATGTCGCACCTGATATTTAAAACTTTATTGTTATTGTTTTTGAATGCTTTGTAATTTCGACCAGACACGGAGACAGAGGTGAAAGAGAAAGGAAAAGAGAAAAGGTGGGGAGAGAGGGGGTTAGGTGGGGGGGGGATTCAACAAAAATAAACAATAATGAACAAGAGTCTGCTTCTAGACCTGCAAAATGAGACGAGAAAAAAAGCAAAACATAACAAAAAAATGGGACACAACACCAATATAACAAAATCAAGCTATCACTGCGTCAACTTGATGAAGAAATATATAATCAATCATTGTTTAACTAAACAGTCACACGATAATATACCACAGTGCATTGAGTGCCCACCATAGTCTTAAGACATGTGTTGAACGTGCCCAAGCCCATACTTATGAGAGCACCATGTGAGCACCTGTGTGTGTACACGCGCTTGTTTATGTAAGGTTTATCTATAGGAGCGTCCAATAGAGAGTGTGAGGGACCACAGATCCGCCCCCCAAAGACGCGTAGGAGACGGGGGGGAGCTCCAAGTCCCAGAGATCCAGGCGCTGCCCCAGAACACAGGAACCCCAAGGAGCCCGCAACCAGAAAGGCCCCCGCCCCCCTCGAGAGGCACAGAGGATCGCCCCGGGGGGCCACAACCAGCAGCCGGCAGAGCCCCGGGAGATATCAGCGGCAAGTCCTCAGGCCTGCCCGCAGCCTCCCACCCCCTAGCCGGCCGAGTCCGGGACCCAGTGACCCGGGACCCAGGGGCGACCACCCCCGCCGGGGACCCAGCAGAGCCCAGGGACCCAGACCCCCCCAGGCCGCCACCGGGATTGATCAGGCAGATGCCAAAAATCTTAAACTCCCTGACCCGGGATCCACGAACACTCAGGCAGACCAAGGCATCACACCCACACCAGGTGTGACAGGGGGGAGGGGAGACGAAGATCTATATCATCAAAGGAGGTCCCAGGAGAAGGGAGGAGTCAAAGGCCCCACCTGACATATACAGTCATACACAAACACAGTCACACACTCCCTCCCTCATGCTCACACATGCACATACAACCAAAGACTTACAAAAATACACGCCGGACACCCATTCATGCTCCCCATACACACCCTATTCACTCTGGTCCCGGTAATGCTGCACATGGGGTACAACCACCACCGGTTACCAGAGTTTGACCCTTTCTGCTGGGGTGCTGATGAGCAGGCTCCCCCGCCCACCGCCGAGCACAGCAACCCACCACCCCAGACCCCAACCAGACGGCCAGATCTCCCTCCTAGTCTCCAGCCCCAGGCAGCCAAGCAACAACAGAGGTGTGCTAAGACCCCCTGGTCTCCCTCCACCTGCTCCAACATAGTGTTGTGTGTTAATGAGGTGTATTCTATTGCTGTGGTGAGCGGGCAGTGCGGGCATTTTCTGGCCTATGCCAGCTGATGCCACTGCACCACCCTACTTGCACCCACAGCCCTTGGTGTCTAAATGCAGTTTAAAATTTGAAGTGGGCACCGGCACTCGGGAGGAGGCTGAGAACTCCCCCTGCCAAGTGCCGTTGAATGTGCTCACTCCCAAGGCCCTAAGTGTATGTTTGCGTGGAATGTCGTCGGTGGAAGTGCATAAGGTGCAAATAAAATTGGGGGGCGGGAAGCCACAGGAATGCGGAAATGGGGTCCATACCCGCACTCCCCGACTTGTCCACCCCCCAAGGTCCTATGTGCATGTTTGTGTGATGATGTGAGGGAGCAGGAGGAGAGAAATAAACGGGGATGGGGAGGAATGGCTGGTAGGGCTTAGCCCTCCAGGGAGCCAGCTCCCCCACTGACCCCAATAGGCACCTCCGTTGTCATACCGCCGCCCAGGGCATGGAGACCCCAGCCCATCCTGCCAGGGCCCAAAGCAGCAGCATCACAGAGCCCCACAGAGCCCGAGGGAGCCGACCCAGCCCCACCCCAGCAGAATATCTATGCCCATCCCTGCATTTGCACAACTTCCAGAATATATAAGACATAAGACATCCAGGTAAGGTTGGGTCCTCCCCCTCCTGGACCTCCCCCTCCCCTGTGATGGGACAACAGAGGAGCCAGGGCCTGCCCTACGCCCCAGAACCCGGGCCAGGTACTTCTGCGTATTCCTGCCTTCTTCCCGGCAGCGTACATGT